CCTCCCCCTTCCTCCCTCCTCTCCCCGCACGTTGTCGCTATCTCCTGCCGGGCGAGTCGTCGTCCGCATTGGCATTTCGAATCTGAGCCAATGGTCATCTACGGACGACAAGGCACCTCCGCTTGCCCTCCATGGTCCAGCTCGCTGACCAACGGCTACCGGTGGTGGCCACTGCCTCCATAGGGCCACCGGAGGCCTCCAATGTCCGACCCCCGGGCCGACGAACAACTTCTGCACCACGGAGTCTGAGACAATGGTGCCATGCGCGCGTCGTCAAGACTCCGTGAAATGTGGGTTCCTAAACATTTTAGATGCTCGGGAGGAGGTAAAATTTTTAGGAACTTTTGCCTGGGGATTCCTAAATCCTTTAGGACTAGTCCTAACACCGTTTTCACATTTTCATTCGCCAACTCGTCTTTAGGAATGCGTGTAACCACACTGCATTCCTAAAAAACGGCATTTTTAGGAGTGTCTAACGAGACCCTGATTTTGGGAAGTTCTTTTTTGCTGCGGGTCACGGAAAACCTGCCATGTACACATTTGTTTTCCCTACTTCCCAAATTCGACCGGAAGACCTGCAAACTCAGAAAGTAGTTGGATCCCGTGAAACCTACTAGACTACGCTCCATAGTAGTAGTCGGATCCTGTGAAACTCAGTAGACTACGCTCCGCAGTAGTAGTCGGATCAGCACCTAAGTACGCGCGTTCAAATGCATTTAAACGCGCCACATGGTGGCACGCGGGAAAGAAATGAACGCGCGCACATTGGGGCCTACGCAGGGGCCTGCTCCGTTTGTGCAGTGTGGGAAGTGGGTATCGAGGGAGTCAGGGGGTATTGGGGGGGGGTCCAGGGGGTATTGGGGGGTCAGGGGGTATTTGGGGGTCAGGGGGTATTTGGGGGGTGAGGGAGGTATTGCGAGGTGTGGGGAGGCGGTATTGCAGGGGGTGAGGGAGTATTAGGGGTGAAGGGGGTATCTGGGGGGTGGTGGGGTATTGTGTGGTGTGGTGAGGGTTTATTGTGCGGTGTGGGGATGGGGAGGTTTGGGGTGAGGGGGTATTGGGGGGGTGAGGGGGGTATTTGGGGGGTGAGGGGAGTGAGGGGGTGCAAAGCTTAACGGGGGTGTCGCAATTACCAGGGTGTATGGGGTGAAGGGGGGGTGGGAGAGGGGCTTGGGGTGAAGGGGATAAGGGGAGGTACGGTTATTTATTTATTTATTTATTTATGTATTATTTTATTTTTATTTTATTTTTTGCTATGTTAGTTTGTTATCCAGTTTTATTTGCATCGGTGTGAAGGGTTTAAAGAGGGGAGGGCCCGTAGGGGTGGGGGGGGAGGGGGCAGGGGGGAGGGGATCGGGGTCGATTTATATGCATCCATCCATGTTTCCGTCCATGCATTGCACATATTCATTATTAAAGTGTCAACATTACAGATACACAATGACACCGAGTCACTGACATCCCATCACCACAGATAATAATCATAGGATAATGTTGCGCACGTGAACATGAATTCCACAAAGAAGGTAAAAAAAAAAGGGGGTAACTTCGGCGCAGTCACGAATACAGTTTGAAAATGCACTTCAGGCAATTGCGCGAACACAACACACACCCACGTGACCCACGGGACCTGAAACCTAGGTTATATACATTCACCATTACTGACCCTTTTGCCTCAACTACATTTTCAAACTCAAACCCTGACTGCGCTGTAGCTTTCTCAAAAAAAGAAAAAAAAAAAGACACACACACACACAATGACACGCAGACATAAGTCCGTCCCTGCGCAACTGCGCTGATAACAACAACGATAAATAGTCTACGTCCCCTGCACCTCATTGTGACTCTGAGTAACCTACACGACACTACAGTGGTACACTTCAACAATGCAGCCCAATGTCGTCCATGTCGAGGTATCACAGCAATGACCTCTAAACGAAGGCGAAAAAAAAAACACGCAAGGGAAATGCAAAATATTAACAAGGAAATGAAATACACAGCAAGCCATGATGTCCAACCTGCAAAAAGGAAGAAAACATAATAAACAGAAACCCCGCAGTCACTCTCGTCAAATGGGGGCGTCCTAGCTCTCCTCGTGGGGGTGAGCTTTGCCGCTGTCGTCATTGCTCTCGTCTCCCCCGTCGCTGTCACTGTCATCCTCGCTCTCCTCGTCACTATCCTCATCGCCATCATTGTCGCCCTCGCTGGCGTCAGGGTCGGCACTGTCACTGGCGTCATTGCCATCGTCCTCGCTCTCCTCTCCATTTCGCGGCTGTGTCGCCATGCTCGGTCGTGATGCCTAAGTAGCCCGTGCCTGCCGCTGGCGTGAACTACGCCATGGGGCTGCTGAGTTCGTGCTGTCGTCATGCATAATCACCCATCCGCCCTTCCTGACGACATGCTGCCATGCCGTCGTAAGGTCCAAGGTGCCACGACGCAGGCGGGTGCCTGGCCTCATTGCCAGGCCCTCCGCCCCGGAGGTGTCTCCCTCCCTACGCCCCCGTCTCGCCGACACTAAACCTCCATGGCCATGTGCTCTCGGTGCACACTCCCCCGAAATCTGCGACACCGGTCTGAAACCATATCTAGGCATCGTTGGCTCGTCCTCCTCCACGGGGCCGACCTGTCTCTCAAACCCTGACACGGAAACATCCGCAAGGGATGGTGATGGTCGTTGTCGAGCCTATCGTGGCAAGCCTGGCTGCTGACGAGTGGACGCCGTTATAACCCGGCTCCATAAGCTCCAAGACCGATCTGTATGTCCAAACAATGTTGTGTCATAGAAGGCATCTGTACTCAATGTCCTAGGGTACCTCGATGTCGGAGTGCGAATCCTGTTGTTGTGACGATGTGCGGTGACACTACCAAGGGACTTTAAGACAACAATCCCTCCATAAGACACGGGCACAGAAGCGCCTAACAATGGCATCGGGCTGGCAGGGCCCCACGACACCGAAGCAACAATTGACAATAGTCCCGGAGGGGCCTCTGACCGCAATATGCGCGAGTCTATCTCTGTGAGGTCCCTTTGGAAAGTTGGAAACAACTCGCCAACTCATCCGGTGTCATAGCTTCACATGCCATGGATCCCCGCGGTTGTGGCACATACCTCCGCAGAGTAATCTCTGAGGTCAAGGCGGGTGGTCACGGTGGAAGTGGCGGCGGAGGTATGCCTCTCCCAATTTGTCTGGCCATAGATGGGATGTCATCTGCCAGCCGCCGCCTCGGATCTCTGCCATGTGCGTGGACCAGCTGACTCTGCGTCTTCGGACGGCACGGCTGAACAGTAGGCACAGCAGAGCTCGAGACAATGGGAGGCTGGATATTGGCACCAATCTCCAGCAATGCCGCATGACCCACTCCTTGACCAGCATCTCGAGCTGCAGAGGTATTGTCGGCAACGATCTCCTCTGCACTGGTCCAACAACTGCAGTGGCGTCGTCAACGCATGCCGCTCCGGTGTCAACGACACATGCGCCTCACGACCACGCCCTCCCATGCACGTCTGTCTACCGTCCCCCGACATCTCCGACTACCACGACCAACGATCAACCCGTCAGTATGTCCTCAGGCCCAGGGGACATCAAGGCATTTGTACTCCCGGCGTCAGTGGCGCAAAGAGATGCAGCCTCCTCGCTACCCTGAACAACGACTAATGTTGATGCACTGCTAACCTCGGCATCGATGCATGCTGGTCCGTCAACCTCCGCATGTGTGTAATCGGTCGGGGGTGCGAGTGACTCCTCATGCGTACGATGGCATGTCTAGAGGTTACGCTCATGTGCCTCGCGTGCCATCTACTGCGTGATATGACACTCACGGGCAAGGAGTTCTGCACACTTGCTATCCAACCTATCCTCCCTCTGTGAGGTCGTCTCCCTCGGGGGGGTCGTGTCGTCGTCGGCCTCTACTCCCTCCCCTCCGCTATCCCCGCCCAGTAAAGGGGACAAACCAAGCTCGTGGCACATGCCAGGTGTCAAGCAACCCAACATAACCTCGCCAATCTGCCCCAAGATGTCGCCCATGGC